GACTGTATGTTATAACTAAGAGCCAATCATTGGCTCTTATGATATGTAATAGTCAATGAAAAAGATACAGCTATGCTAAAGAAAGCCCCCATCTCTCATTCTTTGTTCTCCTTTGTAATTTTGCTACATAAGTCTGTATCCTAGTAAAAACAAACAACAACAACAACAACAACAACAACAACAACAAAACCCCCAAAAAACCCAAAGCTCTTGGCTTGTGTTTCTTGGGTCGATCCTCAAATTTGGTTCATAATAAACCTTATACATTTTCAAATTTGCCTCTTCAGCCTCAAAACCCCAAAAAACCCAAAGCTCTTGGCTTGTGTTTCTTGGGCCGATCCTCAAATTTGGTTCATAATAAACCTTATACATTTTCAAATTTGCCTCTTCAGCCTCAATTCAGTTAACAGTTCAACTTCCATGCTATAAATGAACACTTTCATGTCTGAGCCAGAATTTGATAGAATTAATTGAAAGGAGGAAAGGATAATGTTGAAAAAGTCAGTGATAAAATAAAGGTTTATTTATGAATTCCTATAAGGAGAATCTAGCTTCATGAAACTAACTTAGGTACACTTTATGTTGCAAAAACATTCTCAAGGCTTTAACAGAATTCTTTTAACGATAAGCTTTTCTCGTGCATTCACAATGTTATACAGAAATATGTATACCCATTTTTTGAGGACTAAATCTACTTGTAAAGTATATCTAAACATTTTCTATAGCAGTTATAGCAATACTACATAATGCTGGACATGTGTCATTGCCTTGAAAATAAAGGAAACAATGATCCAGGGTGAGTAGAAACTATTACATGCTTTCTCCCCTCAATGTTCATTCCTTTATTTCCGTTTACTATGATGAATGTATCTGAAATATGCTAAGCCAGCAGCCAGAAATGCCAGGCTAACTGGTGCCACCTTTATCCAAGAGAGCTGTGAGGATGAGTGACTGTCTTCACTAGTAATTCGAGTCCTCAGGGGCTTGATGATCCGCTCTCTCTGGGTCAGGATGGCTCTCCGGGCCCCATCCCACTTACCCGGCCCCTGCAGGCGGTACTGGTATGGGGTGCAGGGGCCAAAGAAAACCTCCATGGCCAGCTTTGGATCTGAGAGAAAGAGGAATAGCAGGTTGGGCTTCACCCCTGCCAGGGTTGCGATCTCATCCATGTACTCAATGTGATCCACTTGGATTGTGTGGCGGGGTGTCTTCACATATCTGAAATGAGAGAAGAGAGTGGAGGACTCACAGCCTCTAGCAGTGGGGGAACAACAGAGATTTATATCTACACCACACGAGAACTACAAGAAGTTGAAATACTTCTATTCACTTTAGAGGTGAAGAAACTGAAAACTGAAAAGCTGAACTGACAAACCCAATACCACTCAGCTACTGAATGACCACACGAGAACTACAAGAAGTTGAAATACTTCTATTCACTTTAGAAGTGAAGAAACTGAAAACTGAAAAGCTGAACTGACAAACCCAATACCACTCAGCTACTGAATGACAGATCGGACACAGAATCCAGGTTTCCGTGTTCACTGTCCCTTCATTTTTCATTGCACCAGGGTGACTGAACTGCAGATTGGTGTTCTCAGTGATCTCTGTCCTTTAAGATGTTCATTTTTTAAATGAAGGATTGTGATCCAGTTGTGTAGGTAGCATAGAAAATGCTTAACTTCTAGCCCTCCTGTGTGTTTGAAGTCAGCCAGGGAGTGGGAAATCAGATGTTATTGATAATCTGGCCCCAAAAGCTTGGTGGCTGTATGTGGTAAGAGTGCAGTGAGGGTAGCCTCCTTTGCAGAGCAAGTAACTCTGCAGCACTGCTGGGAATGGCAGCTGCTTGGGTAGCTCTCCCTTGACGCGGATGAACATGATCCTAGAGGGACATTGCAGATACTGCAGATTTCATGTTTGTTATCAGTTTTACTTCCAGCATTTGAAAGTGTCTTGAGGAAGGTGTGCTTTTTTTCTAATTTGCACAAATGCATTTTATGGGACAGCAGCAGCCCCATATACACCTGCTGTACAACATGGGGCAAGGGTAGCTTATCCTTCTGATGTGAGAGTGCACAAAGTGTCGTCTTAGAGACGTCTGGGAGCTGGCGCCTCTGCTGCAGGAGCTGAACATTTGTTCCATGTTGTGGGAGCTTCCCCATAACACAGAATTTGTAGCCCTCACATCTAGTAGAGAAGGCTGGTTTCAGGTGCTGTCACATAAGGAGGAACAACAGTGTTGCCATTTTATATTGCTCTCTACTGCCTTCTGCATAATCCTGTTGGAAATGCTTAGCAATATGTCTGCTGAAGAAGACACAAAATAAATTTTTAATGAGTGAATTAGAAACATTTCCACCTCTTCTTTTTACAAATATTGATGAGAATGGTACTTAAATGCTTTTTCAACTAATGATTTTCTCTGTGTTGCAAAGTTTGTAAAACTGATTGTAAAGTACGTGTGTAGGTGAGGGGGACTGAATAGGAATGAATTTCATTGCTTTATATGGACACAGATTAAAGTTTTGAAAATCCTGAAATAATGTGGCAAGGCAATCGATAGAGTTTGGACATGTTGTCTCCCCCAAAGCTCATGTCAAAATCTGAGCCCCAACTTGGCAGTGTTGGGAGCTGTTTGGATCATGGGGCAGATCCCTCATGAGTAGATTAATGCCGGGGGTGGTAGTGAGTGAGTTTTCACTCTGTTAGTTCCTGAGAATGCCAGTTGTTTAAAGGACCCTGGTATTCCCTCCCCCTCTCTCTCTTGCTTCCTCTCCATGTGATCCGCTCACACCCACCGGCTGCCTGCCACTTTCCACCATGAGTAGAAGCAGCCTGAGGCCCGTGCCAGATGCAGCTGTCCCAGAATCGTAAGCCAAATAAACCTCTTTTCCTTATAAATTACCAAGTTTCAGGTATTCTATTTTAGCAACACAAAGATAGATGAATACAGTAATTTATTAAGATATTAATTTGTGTATTTTCTGCCTATATTCCTCTCCTCTACTTGGTCTCTGTAAAAATGACCAAGCCTTTTGTGTTTCCTTGTCTCAGAGACATTTTTTTATCACATGACCAAAGAAATACCTTACTTGGAAGACTTTTCCCCTCCTAACTTCTGTTTTCTTAAATTCTGGGCTCATGGAGGAGAATAAGATAAATATCTTTGAAGGCACCAAGAGAAGAGGAGAGATTTCACAGTATATAAAGTAGAAAGTCTGCTCTGAAACAGTCCAGGAACCTATAGCGAGACTTCGGAGGGAATAGCTGTGTGCGGCTCCTGGGAAGGCTGAACGCCGAGCCCACCTCAGCTGGGCCCCCATCCCCAGCAAGGGTTCCTGCACCCTACTTATGATAGAAAAGCCAAGAACCTCCAGACTTACAAGTGTACTTTAGACACAGGCAATAAGGATGTCAGTAAGAAACATGATATAGTGAAAATCATAAACTATTCCCACATTTTCGAGAATCACATAAGCTTCCCAGATTTTGGTAAGATCCTGGAGGAAACACTAATAATAACTGAGATTGCAGCTGAGGGCTTAAATTCAGGTTTAATATGATTTAAAGAGAATAAATATGTGGTTATTTGCTGCATAACTGAGTTAGGGGATTCATAACTTGTTTGTGTTGCAAAGCTATACTATAGGAAATGGAGAAAAATAGAATTGAGTGAGATGAAGCACGGATTTAGAATCCCAGATTAGGAATTCTGTGATCCCTATGAAGGTCCCCAACTAGTAGTTACTAATTATTTTACATACCGTTTTTCCATAGCCCTTTTCCTCTGGGCAATATCTGCCATCATGTTCTTCACCGAGGGCAATTTGCTCAGCCCTAGAAAAGAGAATTCAGAGTCCGTCAGGATTCCTAGGAGTAAGAGGAATTTTGCTGAAAGGAGAGAACTAGTGTCAAGGAACAGCTGAGGATAATTTTAGGCCTTTCTCCAACGTTTATTCACATACCTTTGAACACTCGTGTAGCCCAGCGAGACTGGAGCTCTGCAATAGGGAGGACGATGCCCAGTGGCTGGACAAGACCGATGACAGCCAGTGTTGGCTTCTCCAAGTCAGGAGGGAACATAAGCTTATACAGGGACACTTCATTCTGAGTAACTTTGATCAGACCATCAAGGAAAGGAAAAGAAAAGCTGTATCCTGTAGCAAAGACGACAGCATCAATATTCTCCTCTACAGTGCCATCATCAAAAATGGCATCTGTTTCTGTGAACTCCTTCACATTGGGCTTCACTTGGACTTTTCCAGAAATGGATTTAGAATCCCAGATTAGGAATTCTGTGATCCCTATGAAGGTCCCCAACTAGTAGTTACTAATTATTTTACGTACCGTTTTTCCATAGCCCTTTTCCTCTGGGCAATATCTGCCATCATGTCCTTCACCGAGGGCAATTTGCTCAGCCCTAGAAAAGAGAATTCAGAGTCCATCAGGATTCCTAGGAGTAAGAGGAATTTTGCTGAAAGGAGAGAACTAGTGTCAAGGAACAGNTGTAATTTTGCTACATAAGTCTGTATCCTAGTAAAAACAAACAACAACAACAACAACAACAAAAACCCCAAAAAACCCAAAGCTCTTGGCTTGTGTTTCTTGGGCCGATCCTCAAATTTGGTTCATAATAAACCTTATACATTTTCAAATTTGCCTCTTCAGCCTCAATTCAGTTAACAGTTCAACTTCCATGCTATAAATGAACACTTTCATGTCTGAGCCAGAATTTGATAGAATTAATTGAAAGGAGGAAAGGATAATGTTGAAAAAGTCAGTGATAAAATAAAGGTTTATTTATGAATTCCTATAAGGAGAATCTAGCTTCATGAAACTAACTTAGGTACACTTTATGTTGCAAAAACATTCTCAAGGCTTTAACAGAATTCTTTTAACGATAAGCTTTTCTCGTGCATTCACAATGTTATACAGAAATATGTATACCCATTTTTTGAGGACTAAATCTACTTGTAAAGTATATCTAAACATTTTCTATAGCAGTTATAGCAATACTACATAATGCTGGACATGTGTCATTGCCTTGAAAATAAAGGAAACAATGATCCAGGGTGAGTAGAAACTATTACATGCTTTCTCCCCTCAATGTTCATTCCTTTATTTCCGTTTACTATGATGAATGTATCTGAAATATGCTAAGCCAGCAGCCAGAAATGCCAGGCTAACTGGTGCCACCTTTATCCAAGAGAGCTGTGAGGATGAGTGACTGTCTTCACTAGTAATTCGAGTCCTCAGGGGCTTGATGATCCGCTCTCTCTGGGTCAGGATGGCTCTCCGGGCCCCATCCCACTTACCCGGCCCCTGCAGGCGGTACTGGTATGGGGTGCAGGGGCCAAAGAAAACCTCCATGGCCAGCTTTGGATCTGAGAGAAAGAGGAATAGCAGGTTGGGCTTCACCCCTGCCAGGGTTGCGATCTCATCCATGTACTCAATGTGATCCACTTGGATTGTGTGGCGGGGTGTCTTCACATATCTGAAATGAGAGAAGAGAGTGGAGGACTCACAGCCTCTAGCAGTGGGGGAACAACAGAGATTTATATCTACACCACACGAGAACTACAAGAAGTTGAAATACTTCTATTCACTTTAGAAGTGAAGAAACTGAAAACTGAAAAGCTGAACTGACAAACCCAATACCACTCAGCTACTGAATGACAGATCGGACACAGAATCCAGGTTTCCGTGTTCACTGTCCCTTCATTTTTCATTGCACCAGGGTGACTGAACTGCAGATTGGTGTTCTCAGTGATCTCTGTCCTTTAAGATGTTCATTTTTTAAATGAAGGATTGTGATCCAGTTGTGTAGGTAGCATAGAAAATGCTTAACTTCTAGCCCTCCTGTGTGTTTGAAGTCAGCCAGGGAGTGGGAAATCAGATGTTATTGATAATCTGGCCCCAAAAGCTTGGTGGCTGTATGTGGTAAGAGTGCAGTGAGGGTAGCCTCCTTTGCAGAGCAAGTAACTCTGCAGCACTGCTGGGAATGGCAGCTGCTTGGGTAGCTCTCCCTTGACGCGGATGAACATGATCCTAGAGGGACATTGCAGATACTGCAGATTTCATGTTTGTTATCAGTTTTACTTCCAGCATTTGAAAGTGTCTTGAGGAAGGTGTGCTTTTTTTCTAATTTGCACAAATGCATTTTATGGGACAGCAGCAGCCCCATATACACCTGCTGTACAACATGGGGCAAGGGTAGCTTATCCTTCTGATGTGAGAGTGCACAAAGTGTCGTCTTAGAGACGTCTGGGAGCTGGCGCCTCTGCTGCAGGAGCTGAACATTTGTTCCATGTTGTGGGAGCTTCCCCATAACACAGAATTTGTAGCCCTCACATCTAGTACAGAAGGCTGGTTTCAGGTGCTGTCACATAAGGAGGAACAACAGTGTTGCCATTTTATATTGCTCTCTACTGCCTTCTGCATAATCCTGTTGGAAATGCTTAGCAATATGTCTGCTGAAGAAGACACAAAATAAATTTTTAATGAGTGAATTAGAAACATTTCCACCTCTTCTTTTTACAAATATTGATGAGAATGGTACTTAAATGCTTTTTCAACTAATGATTTTCTCTGTGTTGCAAAGTTTGTAAAACTGATTGTAAAGTACGTGTGTAGGTGAGGGGGACTGAATAGGAATGAATTTCATTGCTTTATATGGACACAGATTAAAGTTTTGAAAATCCTGAAATAATGTGGCAAGGCAATCGATAGAGTTTGGACATGTTGTCTCCCCCAAAGCTCATGTCAAAATCTGAGCCCCAACTTGGCAGTGTTGGGAGCTGTTTGGATCATGGGGCAGATCCCTCATGAGTAGATTAATGCCGGGGGTGGTAGTGAGTGAGTTTTCACTCTGTTAGTTCCTGAGAATGCCAGTTGTTTAAAGGACCCTGGTATTCCCTCCCCCTCTCTCTCTTGCTTCCTCTCCATGTGATCCGCTCACACCCACCGGCTGCCTGCCACTTTCCACCATGAGTAGAAGCAGCCTGAGGCCCGTGCCAGATGCAGCTGTCCCAGAATCGTAAGCCAAATAAACCTCTTTTCCTTATAAATTACCAAGTTTCAGGTATTCTATTTTAGCAACACAAAGATAGATGAATACAGTAATTTATTAAGATATTAATTTGTGTATTTTCTGCCTATATTCCTCTCCTCTACTTGGTCTCTGTAAAAATGACCAAGCCTTTTGTGTTTCCTTGTCTCAGAGACATTTTTTTATCACATGACCAAAGAAATACCTTACTTGGAAGACTTTTCCCCTCCTAACTTCTGTTTTCTTAAATTCTGGGCTCATGGAGGAGAATAAGATAAATATCTTTGAAGGCACCAAGAGAAGAGGAGAGATTTCACAGTATATAAAGTAGAAAGTCTGCTCTGAAACAGTCCAGGAACCTATAGCGAGACTTCGGAGGGAATAGCTGTGTGCGGCTCCTGGGAAGGCTGAACGCCGAGCCCACCTCAGCTGGGCCCCCATCCCCAGCAAGGGTTCCTGCACCCTACTTATGATAGAAAAGCCAAGAACCTCCAGACTTACAAGTGTACTTTAGACACAGGCAATAAGGATGTCAGTAAGAAACATGATATAGTGAAAATCATAAACTATTCCCACATTTTCGAGAATCACATAAGCTTCCCAGATTTTGGTAAGATCCTGGAGGAAACACTAATAATAACTGAGATTGCAGCTGAGGGCTTAAATTCAGGTTTAATATGATTTAAAGAGAATAAATATGTGGTTATTTGCTGCATAACTGAGTTAGGGGATTCATAACTTGTTTGTGTTGCAAAGCTATACTATAGGAAATGGAGAAAAATAGAATTGAGTGAGATGAAGCACGGATTTAGAATCCCAGATTAGGAATTCTGTGATCCCTATGAAGGTCCCCAACTAGTAGTTACTAATTATTTTACATACCGTTTTTCCATAGCCCTTTTCCTCTGGGCAATATCTGCCATCATGTTCTTCACCGAGGGCAATTTGCTCAGCCCTAGAAAAGAGAATTCAGAGTCCGTCAGGATTCCTAGGAGTAAGAGGAATTTTGCTGAAAGGAGAGAACTAGTGTCAAGGAACAGCTGAGGATAATTTTAGGCCTTTCTCCAACGTTTATTCACATACCTTTGAACACTCGTGTAGCCCAGCGAGACTGGAGCTCTGCAATAGGGAGGACGATGCCCAGTGGCTGGACAAGACCGATGACAGCCAGTGTTGGCTTCTCCAAGTCAGGAGGGAACATAAGCTTATACAGGGACACTTCATTCTGAGTAACTTTGATCAGACCATCAAGGAAAGGAAAAGAAAAGCTGTATCCTGTAGCAAAGACGACAGCATCAATATTCTCCTCTACAGTGCCATCATCAAAAATGGCATCTGTTTCTGTGAACTCCTTCACATTGGGCTTCACTTGGACTTTTCCAGAAATTATGTGATTTGGCAGGTCATCGCTGACAGTTGGATGTTGACTTAAAGGTCTGTATGTAAAAATAAAAATCCTAAGTAAGCAAATATACAAAAAGAAAGGAATGCATATGAGAAGAAATTGAAGCCAACAATTTGCATTTCCCCCTAAGTCTGCACTTATCCAACTGTCTGCCTCTAATGGCAGAGGAGAGAGATTCTGTGCACTGAATGCCTTAGTGGCTACCTTTTCATTTTTCGGGTCTTATATTTTATTTTGAAAACTGATGTATATCTTGCACTCTGTGCCATAACATATCTGATTCTTTTTAGTGTTAAAATATTTTAAACTACTTAGAATTAAGAAGAAAGGAAACATGACTGTGAATCTCAGATTGAAAACAAGTCATAGATTATTATCAGCCCTCCCTCCATGTCATGTCCTACCAAATTATCATTTGTAGGCAAAATCAGTCTCCAAGATAGATATATAATAGATTTGTAGCAGAATTAGGTGTAAAGATCCCTGACACCGGAACCCATTTAAACATTTGTTAAATGGCTAAATTGTTGTCTGAAATAACTAACTCTACCTCCAGGCATTGGATTCATGTTCCAGACAGGAAGAATGAGAAAGGGGGAGGGCAAAGCTTTATGTTGGCTGAGTGTGGCCCTGTCTCTGGGCAAACAGCAGCCTTCTCAGAAACTCTGTTCAGTGGACTCCTACTGACTCTCAAAGAAAACCATGTCACATGACCACCCTGTCCAGATAATCTGCTGCTGCAAGGAAGAGAGAGCTATGTACTTAGTAAACAACCAGGGGGGTCTGTTATAGATAGACAACCTTAGGACTGAAAAT